GTCACCGCCACTTTTAGTAGCTCATTTTCCCATTCATTTCACAATGTCAATGTAGCCAAGAGGGGTTACATTACGATGAGATAAAATTCCGGCTGACATTTTAATTTTTTTTTCATCTGTCCAAAAAATAGTTCATATTGAGTATAAATTTCAAAACTCAAATATGAATTATTTTTTGGGCACAGAGGGAGTACAATACATTCTCCAACTTAATAATTACTTTGTAGCAAATATTGTCAATTCACTTGCAGAGATTATGATAAATCAAATGAACCAGAAAACATCATGAAGAAAGACTAGGTGAAAGTGAAAATAAACTCGAGAAAACTACGTAAATTCATGTCACTTTCAAGAAAAGGATACATGCAGGGGAATCATAAAGAAGTACAGGGCCCTTCTAACTTCTAAAAGAGATATAAAATGATGTGATCAAGAACATAGAAAAACATAGCAACGAATCTAGGATGCTCAAACGATCCAAGGGCCTGAGGGCCGGGTTTAATTCAGATATTTCAACCTGTGATGGTGCCCCGACTATTCAAGCATCCCAGAATCCTTCGCTATACATTTCTATGCTCTTTAACTGAATTCATACACAAAGTTGAAACGGGTTAATGTTCTGGGTTTGTGACCATATTGAAGGATTTTTTTCTTTTAAGGATTTAATTAAGGAGTGAAAGAAAGAGTACTAGATACTTGAGACTTGAGAGAGTGTTATGAGATGTTACTTACTATGATACTAGTAGTATAATAGTGCAGCTCCAAGACCTAGCATTAATGAAGGAGGGTGGATGGGTGAGTGTTTGGTTGGTTTGAAAAAACTTAATGCGGATCAGACAACAGTTAGTTGAGCAATAATATTTGAATCCTTTGCTTTTGACTTGTGCTTTGTCTCATGTCATAACTCATGATCTTCATTAAATCCTTTACTTAAAATTGTTGTACCATACATCTGGAAAAAAAGACTACAATTAACCTGTGTCCAAAGTACGATAAAAAAAAGACTACAATTGAATACAGATAGATAGAAAAAGATATTACTCTTTCTATCCTATAAAAAGATGATCCAAATTGTAAATTTCACATCAGTACACTTTCCTCCTATAAAAATAATCGATATTAAACAAAGTACAATTAATGTTGCCATGATATTTGTATACATACACTTAATTGGATTGAGCTACCCAGAACTAATTTCATTCAGAGAGGATTTCAGAATAATTTTATTGTATAGAACTAAGTAGTCATAATCATGCACGTTGATGAACTTTTGTCAAAGTATATAAGTAAAATAACTAAAGCACATTAAGATCATAAAAATTACTAGTTGCAAAGGCAATACTCCTATTATCACGACTCATTCCCTAAGTTTAATATTTCTATGAACTTTTGCTAACCTGGCTCACTCCTTAAGTTGATTTGAACTTGAACCGGAGACACCAAAACATTCCCCTCTCACACACTACACCTCCACCGATGCACCATCATCATCACCTCACACCAAAATTACCTCACCGAATCGACGCACAGCACCATCAACGGGGAGTAATTTGGAAAAGCTTTCCCTTTGTTTCCGGGTTCCATTGTTTTTATTTTATTTATTATAGAACAATAAGTATTAAATAAATATTTTAATCTAGGACTTGGATATAGCCGCCGATACTTATTTTATTTTGGTTCATTATATTTTGACTTTTTCGTTGATTAATATTTTCCGTTATACTAGTGTTAAAAAGTATTCACCGTCGTGACTAAAGGAAATAACTAGAGCACATTAAGAACTTAAGAATTTATTAGTTACAAAGGCAATACTCCTACTGTCGTGGCTCACTGCCTAAATTTAATATTTCTATGGGCTAGTGCTAACCTTTAACTGTCGTTTCTTCAGTTAAACACCTCTAAACATGCAAATAATGACCAACTACTTACACGAATTAGTCATCGGATTAATTAGAGTAAAAAAATTACACCGGTTATAAACTAATTCTTTTATTATCTAGACTAATGATGATCTAGAATTTGTAAACTTTAAAACTAAAATAAACAAATGCAAATAAAAGCAAATGATATTAATTCAGATTCAGACAAAGGAAACCTAAGACATTGGGTTCACGTACCAAATATTTTGGTTCTAATACTTGGCTCAATTTCAATTCATAAATATTTGGGTTTGGATTTTCATCAATCTCACAACAATTCACCTTTTTAAAAATTATTCACTGTCATGATATAATTCCCTTACTCTAATTAACCATATGACTATTGTCGTGACTATAGGAAATAACTAAAGCACATTAAGATCGTAAGAATTATTAGTTGTAAAAGCAATGCAACTCCTATCGTGAGCATCGGGTCAAGTTCAAATTAACTCGTCTCAAAGATTTCTCAGCACACACTACTTGCTCTCTTAGCTCCCTCTCGCCTCATCCTCTTTGTCAGCTTCCTCAGGTGTGTCATATCCTATTCAGAAGTATGTGAATTGTAATTCTTTTTCTCCGAATCATCGTGTGTTTCTGGCCATCTTCCTCAGGTGTGTCATATCCTATTCAGAAATATGTGAATTGTGATTCTTTTTCTCCGAATCATCGTGTGTTTCTGGCCAGCATTACTGCAGGTGTTGAACCCCGAACCTTTGCAGAAGCTATGCAAGATCCTCGCTGGCGCACAGCCATGCAAGATGAGATTCAGGCTCTTGAAAATAATTGGCAATGAATGGGTTGGCCTTTAGAACTTATATACTGAGTCACTTCTCTTCACCGTGGCAATGTGGGACAAGATAATACACCTTAACACCCCCCAAGTCCAATGGGTCTTTGAATTTTTTGCCTAATGGACTTGGTGTAGAATAAGAACAGAATAGCCCACAAGTCAACGCTCTAGTGGGAGAAAACCAGTTATACCGCTGGATTAGTTCAGAACAAGCCCATGAGTCAATGCTCTAGTGGGAGAATGCCAGTTATACTGCTAGGTCGGTTCAGAACAAACCCACGAGTCAACGCTCAAGTGGGAGAATATAAAATCACCATGGGCCACCTCCAGCCCAAAACTTCACCACAAGCCCAGAACTCTCTGAAATCATGTCAAAGTATATAAGTATTTTGGGCTCACATCTCAAAATCAATTGACAATGAATGAGATGACCTTTGGAACTTATATAATGAATCATGTGGGACAAGATAATACACCTTAACAACTTTATTACTTAGTTTGAACGATGAACTAAATAATGTGGGATATACCGCCTCACATTCAAATCCTTATATTGTTATTACACCTCTATATCGTATCACGTAACCATGATTTACAATTCATAAAAGATCGAATTTAGATTAGTTCAGATTGCTTCAGAGACGGATGTACTATGAAAAAAGTAGTAGCAGAGCCAGTGAACATGGGATTATATGTTTTTGATCACTTATAGTCGACAATGTTTAAGCTACTTGTATAGTGACGGTTTTAGTTTTATAGAGTGATTTTAAACTTTTAATCAGTACGTATCAGTGGCTGTGTGGTATATACACAGATAATGGCCCTCGTCTTACTGTACCCATTTGCAAATGGAACTTCGGTAATGGTTATTTTTCCGCTTCGCTGAAGGAAAAAGGTAATTAATTTAATTAATATCTATGGCATATTTTAAACTCAATAATATTTGTATACAAATTCCAAAATCAACACAAATATATTGGCAGGAATTGTGATGTATCTTTGGTCTAAAGTCATCCGCAGTTTCAAACTTCGCAGTTGGCGAATTTTTTTTAAGACAAAAAGAAAAAAAAATTCAAAAACTCATAAATTACAGTGCTGATAATGTTAAAGTAAACAAGCTCATTACATTACATTAAATTTTGTTAGAATAATCTCCAAGACATAAGCTCGCATACACAAATCACTCTAGAAGAAGCATATGTTCTACGGAAAAAAAAAATAAAAAATAATCGTTGAAGTATATATGCAAAACAGAAACACAAAAAAAAAAAGAGTTTTACTAATTAATAATAATGGAAATAAAAGTGTGAAAATCAATCAGACCCTGCATGTTCTAGAGCATGCAGAGAAATTATGATTTGATATAGGAAGACCTGGACTAAATTAGTTCGTAAAGAGACCCGTCATGTTGTTAAAAGTTGAAAATAGTTTCACTTTTTTTTTAATAACTGTTACCATTCTCTGGATATTCAGCCGAAGTTCCCATTACGTGAGACTCAAGCAAAAAGACACTATACGATTTCATGATCGAGCTAGCTTCTTTTGATAACTCAATATACAACTTCAATACAAGAAAAAGTGCCCTCCATGGTCTTCCAGAGATAATAATAACATGAAGAACAAAGAAACGCGTAGGAAGAAACTCGTGAAGCTCAAACAAAATCGGACCATAGAGAAGAACCCGAGTTTGAGATCCCGATTCGGACCATGGTTTGAGCTCACACGAGTTTCTTGCTATATATTTCTATGCTCTTTTTAACTGAGAACTCATACTCACAAAAAATATTTCTTTAAACAAAAAAAAAAAAAGAAACTTGATTTTTGGGTTATTTATGAAATTGAAGAGAAACAGATCAAAGAGAAACTAAAAGATGAATGAAGTTGGAGAAGACGGTGTTTGTTGATCATATATATAGAGAAGCAGCACCAATAGAGTTCGGGGGTGCATTCATGGCGGTTGGTTGTTTGGTTTACTCAGAAAAAACTTAAATGATTATTAAAGATATCATCAGACAAAAATTAATTGAACATTGATTTGAATTCTTTTGCTTCATGTCAGAAATCTTCAATTACTATTGTTGTTTGTTGTTGAGAAGAGATGAACACTGGAACTAGATGAAGAAGAAAGGAGATTTTAAGAAAATGGGCCACTTTTATTTTCTCAGTGGATTTTTTTAATTTTGGGGTTTGGTCCATGATCAAGTTAATTATATTGGGCCAAACATTCTCTCCTTTCCTAGTCCAATATGAAACCGGAAGCCGCCTAAAACGCTAAAAACCGCCTTCTTTGGCAGCAAGAAAGCTCCTCTTCCTCCTATTTGAAAGATAATTAGAAAACGCCCAGAAAAAGCTCTTCTCTCACAGATTCTGCTTTGGAAGTTGCTTTTTGCTATCCCATTTGCTCCCAATTCCAATTCTCAGCTTAGGCGCTTCTAATTTTGGTATGATTTTAATTTTTTGTTCTTTCTTATATAATTTTTTTGTGGCTAATTAGATGGGTGGATTCCTTTGTTAACGATTTTCTGTTCAAAGAATTTATTTTCGATTCTTTTAAGAAAATTCCGACACTGTTAACTGGTAAGAGGGGGAAAAGATAGGGAAAATTCTGGGTTTTTTTTTTTTCCATAGGGTTTATAAGCTATGACTTTCTATACCCGGCTCACGAATGTTACTGATGTAAGAAAATCTGATTTTTAAGCTGAAAATGATGCTTTCTTTTAACCTTTTTTTGGCTTTTCTTAATGGCACCAATAGATTTTTTGAAAATTAAGTTCTTTGCTACCTAATGGGTTGCAGAGCATAGAAATTTTTATCAATGAATTGGGAACTGTGTACAATTTTCCTCTTGTAATTTGTTTCTGGCGGCAATCATATGCCTCAATTCCTCTTAATAGAGATTGGCAGTTAATAGTTTCAATTGTTGGGAGAAATTTGCACTAAACCATGCCCTGCACTTATAATCTGTCTTCTGCTGCTTGCTGTTAGTTTTCATCTCTTTTTTTTCCAGCCTTCTGATAGAGCTTATTGATGGTTTTCAGATTGTTTTGGTGGATCTTTTTTTGGGCGCAGATATTGTCAATATTGTGCTTTGATTCCAGATTTCTGCATACATTCTGAAGCAGAAGTTTGAAGGGTAAAGTTGTAGTGAATTGTTCAGCCTCCAAGATGGTACGCATGTAGTCTGAGTGCTTGTTAGACATTGTGAACCTTAATTCCATGTTTGCCTCTTCTCTTGTTGTTTTTCGAAGATGATCTACTGGTGATTATGTCCAAAGTTATTTTAAATCCTCTTTCCAATATGTAGGCCAATTAGTGTTTCTTTGCTTTTGCACCTGCCTAAACTTTTGATATCTGTTACACGTTCTCTGTCTCCCTCTATCAACATTTTCTAGCTTAGCTACAGTTTTGATTTGAGGTTGAACTCCCATAACTTAGACTAATTTCACTTGACTGAGCTGAAGCTCTTGCCCGGTCCACTATCTAACGGAATTTTTTTTGTTTTCTTGTTATGCTTGCTTTGTTAAGCCTTTGAACATGTGTAAATTTACAGAGAAGGTCCACAATTATCATTTAAATTTGAGAGGCACATGTATGCTTAAAGGAAGACTAGAAATGATATAAGTTGAGTTACTTGAAATGGTAGTATGGAATGTGAATCAGGGGAAGGTATGTCCCTTATACTTTCTAATTAAATTGAGAGAAGTAACTTCTCTGGTCTCTCTATATAGGTGGAGTACATTTGAAATGGTATTGCTAGAGGCGCTCTCATTACTTATTTCTGTAGTTCCAACTGATGACTTCCTTTTTACGGGCATATTGGACTGATGTTGATGTCATACATAGATAATGCAACAGGTCTTGTAGGATTGATTCAAATTCATAAAATGCTTGGCTTGTATGAGTTCTTTTCTTGTCGTTGTGTGTGTGTGTGTGTGTGTGTGTGTGTGCGTGTGTGTGTGTGTGTGTGTGTTGGGGTATGTGTTTCTTCTATTAATTGCTATCATGTTCTGGAAACTGCTTATACATAATCCATGTCAAAGGTTATTGAGTACTTAGCTCTTAACTAATTTGAGCTAGTACCCAGTTCTGGTCAACTGGATTCTATGAATGATTTTACATAATTTCTCACGGCATACTGCTTCACATTAGAAATTATAACTCTGTGGTGTAAATGCACGATCAAGTTTCTTTTATTATTGATGGTGGTATTAAACAGCGTTCGAATTGCTGGGTTACTAGAGAATCTATAGTGGTTAGACTGGATATGGGATATTTGGAGTTCATAGTACTTAATCTTCATTTATCCTCTTGTTTTCAGGCAGCAAAACTTCTTGCAACTATACTTGTCACAGGCACTGGAGTGGTGGCACGTTCTTTGGCTCAAGCATATCGTCAGGCACTAGCAAGTCTGTGTTTTTATCTTGATATGTAGTGCTTATTTTGTAACGTGGTTTTTATTTGGTTCATCATGTTCGTGATCATATTCTTTCTCATGCATCATATCTGATCATAGTCTAAGTAGATGGTGGTTCAAAATATCATTCTCAGCATTGTTGTCACCATGCTCCATGCATAGAATACTCTTTTCCTTGGCTGTTTACATCTTGCTGATTCAAGGAGTGATAAAAATTAATTTGTCATAGCCATAATTTGTCTGTTAAAACAAGTTGTGTGCTGTTTGGAAACAGATGCGGCTAAAAATGGTGTGGCTCAAGAAACGGTGCAATCAGTGGTAAAATCAGCCAATAAAACCATGAATGCTGCAGAGGCAAGGCAAATTCTTGGAGTATCGGAGAAAGCTTCATGGCAAGACATCTTGCAGGTGTGTGACACTCATGTACTTTGCGATCCTTGTGAAAAGAAAAAGGATGTAACGTAACACTATCTCTTGATTTATCTTTCAGAAATACGACACTTTGTTTGAAAAGAATGCGAAGCAGGGGAGCTTTTATCTTCAATCAAAAGTCCACCGAGCTAAAGAATGTTTGGAAACAATCCTAGGTCCACAGACAGGTGCTTGATGTAAAACTTGGAATCTTGGTTGGGAACATCCTGTAGTAATGTGACCTCTTAGAAACCTCCCTCAGCATGTTTAAAGCTGACTTCTTTCGTTCTTCAATTATCCTCTTCGTTCTGTTGTGAGTTATTCTTTACGAGCTTGGCTTTGGGGGGTTGGTGCCGGGCTCTGATGTGCTCATTTCTTTTGATGCTCTTTGAAGGAATATTAGCAGCCTAGCAGGTATTATAGCAACAAAAGTAGGGTGCGGATTTCTTCTCCGGGCAAAATGAGATTCCTACTTTGCCTTGAGAATATAATTCGTACACTTGTAAGAAGAAAGATGACTAATATTGGGAATGAGCTTCTGAATTTCTTGTTCAGGCCCAGTCTTCTTGCATGGCCATCTCAAAATTTGTTTCGATTTTTAACACAATTTTTTTGTTTTTTCCTTTTCTACAATTCATGTATTTGTCTCCTTAAGTCCTTAATCAGAGATGGGCCAAACATTGTATAGCCCAGCTATTGAGGACACCCAGGCCTCGCTGGATACTAAAAATGGCTGGGCTTTGTTACTGGTTTTAGCCTGTTAGTTGTAAGGTTGATTCTCATCATTGATATAAGCCAAAGAAATGAGCTTTAAATTTAAATTTTCTTAAAGGGGAAAGGAAAAGAATAAAATGAAAGTGATATTAAGTAGTAAGTAGTATTAATTATTCTCCAAAAAAAAAAAAAACTAATATACTCCTTCTGTCCCAAAATTATTGTCCAATTTGAGATTTCACTTTTAGTACAATTTGAACTAGAAACGAAAATCCAAACTGGACAATAATTATGAGACGGAGGGAGTATATGTCAAAAAACAATAAAAGACAGACCATAACATATGAGTTGTGATACTTGTATTGATTTTTTTCCACCAATATCTTGCACTATAAGTCTATAATATATAGAACTTTATATTTCTAACAATGTAAAAATTTGTACGACTTCAATTTTATCCATATTTTCTTCGAAAATTTCCCTAGAGAATATCGTTACTGTTCTCAAAATTTTAAATCCATGCATATGTACTCCATTTGTCTCAATACAACTATCTAGTTTTGTATTAGTAGAATATATAAATTCTTGTCATTCATGTTCGTAAACTCGCATTTACATTTACAATTTATTAAAAAAAAAAAACCAATTTGTTGTTGCTTAAGCAAATTAATTAGAAATAAGTAAGTATGGATCGATGGATGCCACGCATTTAATTTGAAGAACATAAATAGAGAGTGTGAAAATTGATGATTGGAGGGATGCAATAATGCCGGAAAGTTTGACAAGGTAAGCGCCGAGAGATGGAGGAGACAGCATAAGTAGGAAGTCGGCGCCGACGCGGCAGAGAAGAACTATAATAATGACATTTTGATTTGATGGCCATTTTCGCCTTTCACTTTGTTTTTGGTTCATCATTTACATCGTACATTAATCACATTTTTATTTTTTTTCCCCCCTTTTTTTCTTTTAGCGTGGATTCGAAGTTCAAAGTTGAAATTGAAACCATAGATATGATTATGAATACTACTACTTCGCCACAAAAATAAATCAGCTCAATGTCCAATCCAACATTATTCGTTCCGACCCTAATTATCTTGACCCGGCTAAATTACAAATAGAATTAGACAAAGTATATTATGTAGTTTTAGTTTTCCACTAAAGGTTGCCCTCGTGGGGGTGGGTGCTAGAATAAGAATAACTTACGCTTTGAGAAAGGAAGAGGCATTATCTTGACCCGGCTAAAAATAGTGAATTTATGAAACGAAATAATTCTGTAACACGTCCAACATATACTTAAAACATATTCAATTTACTCTTTATTATTACCTCCGTCTCACAAAAATAGTCCACATTAAGTTTTCAAATTTATACTAAAAACAATATAAAACTCAAAACTCAATATGGACTATTTTTGTGGGACAGAAAGAATCAGAGCTGGCTCAACATATATCTAAATAATATGAGGCCTAAAGCCATAGATTTAGTAACCTCCCCTTGAAGTCGGCTCTGGAGGGAGTACAATTTTCATTATAAAGAATGAGACTGGTTATAATGTATACCATGTATTGCTCGGGGCATCACGTTGAACAGATTCTTAATTTTTTTTATCATTGCACTTTGTGTGTTTATCTTTGTTTGCATTCATTCGTGTGCCTGTCTCTTTCTTGCACCTACAATTCTTTTTCACATCCCCCGCCTAAATTTTAATGATTTTTTTTTTTTTGGGGGTGGGTGGGTGGTCGGCCATCCAACCGAGTTAAACAAACCATCGCAGCAAACCAAAAGTGAACAAATAATCATTACATTACACATTTGAACAGTTTAGCATCATCCTAAAAGAGGCAAGAGGACCATCAATCAAGTGGAACAAAACTACAATTAATTAATTGTATACGAAGATGTTTTTTACTCCATGTTATCCAGTGATAGTGGTAGTAAATAGTAACTGTGATGATGATGGTTGTAGTTTAAAGGTGGAGTTCTATCCCTTTTTCTTTTTTCTTTTTCTTTTTTCGTGGATTATGGAGTTTTACCAAAGCTTTGTCTCTAAAAACGCTCTTTTTAAACAAATCCACGTGTGCGGTACATTCTTTACCTTAGGAAGGTTCCCAAAAAAAGCCAGAGGAAACAAAAAAAGGAAAAGTTTGGCCAAAAGGAAGGAAAAAAAGAAAATTCGAGCGGCTACAAAAGTGGTAAAAATTTTCTTTCATTTCATGCACGTATGTGTCGAAGTAGCTTTGCATGAATGTATTGTAAATATGATTTTATTTTATTTTATTTTATTATAGGAGAGGCAGAGGTAGAAGGTTTCGAAGACCATGACGAAGTTGTCCATTTATCACAAGTTATAGAGCAATGTATTTTCCAAAATTTCTTCAAAGATTAATCAAAATGATGGAAGAAACAAAGGTCCGTTGCTTGTATCCAGTTCTTTCGTCCAAAACTAGCAAAAGTAGCACATAGTTCATAGTTGCTGTAGGATTTAAGCATTGTCAAAGTTTGTTGTTTTTCTTTTGATTCAAAAATTCGATATTCCATTATCCAAAGTACCGTCCGACTTTACAAGTATTAGCTTAACTACTACCTCAGATGATCCTCTTAGAAACTGCATGCTCCCTCCGGTCCTTATTATTTGTCGTAAATTTTATTTAATATGTTATTCTAATGCTCCCTTCATCTCAAACTTATTGTTCACTTTGAATTTTCATTTTTAATTCAAAATATATTAAAAGTGAAATCCTAACATGGACCATACTTTTAGATTAGAGAGAGTAGAAAATAAAATTTTAAGAATATTTTATAATAATTAGACGAATATAACAAATGTTAAAATAAATTTTTAAAGTTTTATTTTCAATTGTGACGCTGCCGGCTGCAGTAACAATTGATTTAGGATTATTAATTTATCTCAATCTGTACCTATGCGGTCCAATTAGAGAATTAATGGCTCAAATTGATTAGAGAAAAACATAATGAATGACGGAAGCTAGTCTGCTAATTGACTTCAGGTTTTACATTCGACTAATTCCAGAGATTACGAAACTTTCGGTCAATTCTCATTTCTCATATATAAAATCCCATTTGACTTTCTTTTCTTCCACATTTGGTCAGTTTTTGTAAGTTGGTTCCGAACTACGTACGTTGTAATCCAAAGTAGAGGTCAAGAACCAAAAAAAAAGACAAAAAAAAATAATAAAAATCGAACAATCATTTTATGAGTACATAATAATAATATTAAGATCTCTGTTAGTTGACTAAAGTTACAAATCTAGAAGAGAACGATCGAAAACTACAGAGAAGTTGAGACTTGAGAATTCCATAAACTTCTACTTATAGCTAAGACCGAGTCTTGCATGGGACCAATACCCCGCTTATGTTAATAAAGAAACGACTATGCACGTAGTAAATGACAACATTAACTACTAACAACTTTGATAAACTTTTGATCCATAATTGTAATTTTTTTTTAACATTAATAGAGAGGTGTGCCCCAAATATATCATTATATATAGCGAGACAAAGTTTGTGATTTTTTTTTTTTAATATGAATAACACATGTTCTGTTCCAATCACAAAGGCTAGCTCGTCTAACCATTAATGGAACTTGCTTGAGTATGTCAACATATATAAATACCAAAACCAATTGCAATGAGAGGGGTGGCATTTAGCACTTATATACTGAGTCACTTCTCTTTAAGGTGGCGATGTGGAACAGATTATACACCTTAACAGAGTAAAATAAAATAAAATAATAATAATAAATCCTTTGCCCAAAAATATCCAAAAAAGCAAAAAGACAAATTGTGATCTAAAATTTCAATAGACTAGCTAAAGTGCGTATGGGACTAATCAAAACATATTAATCGTCAGTGTCGCGCGATTGTAAATAGATAGAGTTTAGCTCAACTATATTAAATCATGTAACACCAACGTGTCTCCTTACTAAAATAAGTTTTGTAGATATAGTTTGCTCCGGAAATTTTACTCCGAGTAGGGGGATTAGACTCATTAATTAAGGTAAGGTTCGTACGTAAAGAAGTGCAGATTTTTCACAATATACTTTAAAAAAATGCTCCAACAATATCGCCATTTTAACGATAATTACATAAATATACGGTAACTTTGTTATTAATAGCTTTATTTTCTAATTTCGAGTCTTGCGAATTGATTAAAGTTAACAGACATAATATTCATAAACTACATTATTTAACATATAATCGAATGTAATGTAATAGGTTATGTATCTTTTCGTAATATAATAACAGCCTTTCCAAAGAAAACACAAACATACAAGGTAGGTGACCGGTTTTTTGTGGCATTTGGTTCTTGAATTCTTAAAAAGTAATCGACGATTTTCTGATTATTATTATTCGTATTCACTCGCATCATTAAAGTTGCATAACAAAAACAAGGAAACGGGTCAATCCATACACATTTCTCTCCACGTCCAAGCATGCGTGCGTTAAGAATCAAAATATGTAAAAAGTTTGGAGAAAATACGTGCAAGATTTGGCTTCTAAAACGTTTTGGGTTGAATCATCGAACTGTACAATTAAATCAAACAAATTTAAAGCCGAATTCCATGACTAGAATAACTTTCAAACACTTGACCCTTATGGATTTTCACACTTTGTTCTCTCTTTAATCTGTGTGTGTGTGTGTATAAGAAGAATGTCGTTGCAAATTAAACTCGAAATCAAATCTTTACTCCAATCTCACTCTTGGTATCTATCTATATCGGTGCCAAACCAAAAAAAAAAGAGAGTATTATATGGTTATCTTATAAGCCTTTCGGGATCTTCTCTAGAACTCAAAATCTCTCAGTTTTCAAACTTTTACGAAGAAAAAAATGCAATCCCTTATACCCATTTTTTTCAAACGTTGGAAATGACAAAAGCCATAAAGGGGCATCTGATCTGAAGTGCATATATATAGCTACTTCCAGGTGAAGTTTCCTTCTTTATTCATCTTCATCTCTTTCGAAGTGTTAATTCTCTCCTTGTCTTTGAAGAAATTAATAGTAAAATGTAAGTTTTGACTTACATCTCAACAATGGTTTTCTTAAAAAAAATTATTCATTGAATGTGAACTATAAGATCGCCTTTTGGCCCTCGTGGGAAGGATGTTTATTTATGTCGTGCACCTTTTTTTTTTCTTTCTTATAGCTAATTAAATCATTCATGTTTTGCATGGAAAACTTTTACTTATATCGCACATTTGTCTTACGCATTCAACATATGTAAACTTTTCGTGGACTTCATGGAAGAAAAATTTTGCCATCTGAATTAGTACATGAGTAAACCACAAATACATTAAACCATGGAGTAATTCTACACTGACGTACCACATAATTAATATCCCTCCTCGATTCAGACATGAGGAATTAGATGGAAAACAACTTGCCGGCCTAATCTGTGTGAATACGATTTCATTACTTATGTGAATACAAGAATACGTACATGTTCCACTCGGGAAACTCTATGACTAATAAACCTAGGAGATCACAAATTTATCCAAGTTAGATATATATCGTAATCTCGAAAGCAAGACACGCCCAAGTTGAAGAATGACTCTTTGTGGTAGCTCCTTTGATAGTGAATGTGCCAATAGCAAAATGAATTCCTTGTACGTATTAAACTAAGTATAATGTGTGAACGCATTGGTGCCCTTTTCTTGGAGTATACCATGAATTTTTTAAGGCAGCGGCTTTCAAACTGAAGACTCTCTTTGTGTGTGTGTGTGTGTGTGAGAGAGAGAGAGAGGGGTTATCTTAAATCTCTTAATTAGTACCCAATGTCTAGAGGTAGATTAGACATTTACTATTAAGATGAAGGACATTTTCTTGAAACAGTTTCAAGTTGATTATAATTATTTTGAGGCGAAAAGAAAGAAATTAGAGGATAACAAATAAGAGAATGAACTCAAAATTCGATTCTGGACTTGTGGGAGATTCATTCAGTGACTTTACCACTAAATCAAGACCACATTCCATGGTGATATTGTATTACAACAAAAAGAAAATTTTGAGTAAAAACCAGTGACACATCAGCTAGTTACTGGCAATGCTCAGTGACATGGAAACAAACACACACACATGGAAAAATAAAATAAAATAAAATAAAAACCCAAAGCTGTAGCTCGAGGGGGAAACAAACAACTCTTTGTTGTTCAAACATCGAACTTCATCTCATGTATATGGATCCCTCTATTCGAAATCAACAAAGAGAATGAAGAAAGTTTGAAACAAACCCTTCTTGCATTATGTGTGAAAATCAACTTAATTAATTAAAGGATAGATAATATGTATTTAGAAGTTTTAAGCTACCTTCTTGCATAACTACTATCAAAGTGATGATCACTCCAATTTCCGGAAGGATCCGAACTCGATGATGAACTCCTTCCAATGTGGTTGTAAGGAGATTGAAACTGAAGAAGATTTTGATGCTCCTGTTCTTGAAATGATAGAGTAGACGACGAACCCGAGGAAGATTGTGAAACAAAAGATCCTCCAACAATAGGGTAATTATTATTTTCTCCACCCCTAAGAAGCTCAGCATACTGATGAACATTATAAGGATAAGGAATGCCTTGAGGTAGAGGCCTTGAATGGGCATAATTTGAAACTTGTTGTTGATGATGATGAGGATGAGCATTGATATTAAAATTGTGAATTTGATGATGATGATCTTGAGGAGTTGTTGTAGTAGTAAGATAGCCATATTCAGTTTTGCCTTGCACCCTTTCTGGGAAATTGAGCTTTGCTTTGTTACCTTTAAACCTAAGGGCTGCTTCATCATAAGCAAGGGCAGCAGCCTCAGCAGTCTCAAATGTGCCTAGCCAAACCCTTGCTGCCTTTTTCGGATCACGAATTTCAGCTGCCCACTTCCCCCAAGGTCTTTGCCTTACTCCTCTATAGTGTCTTCTTCTTTGGCTCCCTAAAACAAGATATGTAACTAAATTATGATAGTGCATATAAGTACTACGTATTATAGTTAACTAGATGAACTATTTCTTTGAGACAGAATAACGACAACATTTGAAATGATGGTACTTGAATGTTTCTAATATTTTGTATGAGCATAAAACGTGCATCATAACATCAAGAGGACTCCCTTGATATGGTTATTGAAGCTGACATTTTATGGTAAAGAGAAAATAGGGTTGTAATTAGTTAAGATTAAGTGAAGTGAAGAGTTGCAATTTAAACATATGGCACTTCAAACTTAAAAATTCAGTGTATTAGCAAGAACTACAAACCACAATTTTTAATTCTAATTCTTGAACATCTGGAGAGTACTTGTCAGTTGTCACTTGTTTAAGGAAATCCATGTTGCACTCTCTCTCAGTCCCTCTGATTACATTTATGCATAAAATTAAAATTAAAATTAGTTTAAATATGTCATCATCCGATTAGGAAGGGTAGTAATTAGTTTTTTAGAAAAGCAATTCTCTTGAAATAGGTTCAATTGAACCTAATATATTTTTTTATTTTTTGCATTCCCTCAAACAACTGTCTTTAGCTCTTAATTCCCATTGAAGAATATACACTAACAAACAATTCCAGCTGATTGTACTTGTTTGTTAGAAACAAAGTAGGTGAGCACAATATCCTTGAATATAATGTGAAATCAAACCCCCCAACAACAAAAATAAAGTAGTTGTTCGCACGTTTTTAACATTGTGAAACATATAGACAACTGCTTAGAATTTATCTACACATCAATCTAGTTATGTTCATACAAAATCAAAAACCATTTAATTTCTTCAAGATTTAACATGTGTCTCTTGCTTCAGATTGGCATTATTATAAATTTGCATTAAAAAAAGAAAAGAAGAAGCTAATTTGTGTACTTAGTACCTTGTTCTTGACCGATTTGAACTTGGTTTTCAGCTGGAACAACAACAAGATGTTCATTTCCAACATTAATGCCCACTGGATTATTGAGGTAATTATTACTACTTGCAGAAGTAGTACTACTACTTCCGATAACCTGAGAAAGAGCAGAAACCATGGCGTTCATATCTTGTTGGGATCTTTCTGAATAAAAAGGCAACATATTCTGGTGGTGCTGGTAGATTAACGGCGGCGCGTGATGGTGTTGTTCTTCCTCTTTTTCCTCCGATTCATTGGATGAAAAGGGCCTCTTCCCATGTCTTCGATCCACCGTTTCCGCCTGAAGGAAAAAAACAAAAAAAATTGATATCCCCCCTTTGATCAGTTTTTTAGAAACGCATATGCAGCAAATCGATGAACTTGCTTTTTTTTTCTTTTGTGTTTTTGACTGAAAGACTGTGCTTGAAGTAGTAGTATTTAGAGTAGCTGAAAACTACGGATATGAAGTTATTGGCTTCTTTCAGAAGGGGTTAGAAAAAAGAATCAGTTGGGAGGAAAATGTCGCAGAGAAATGTTTAGTACAATATATAGTCGAGTTTGGAAGAAGGCAAAAGAGGGTTAGATTTGTAGGGTTTTGAAAATGAAAACTGTTCTCTATTGACGGGGTGTGTGAAAAGAATATCATTGGACTTTTAAGAAATATTTGCTTACGAGACTGGCAAGAGTAGTATTATTCAATTAACTAATTTAAGGTGTTTAATTACTTGAAGCTTTATAATTTGACTTAATTAATTTGTCAATAAATAATTAAAAAAATGGGTATCTTGTTTCAGCTTTGTTAAAAAAAAAATTAATTATTTTCCTTCCAAATCATTCTTTGTTTGACCATTTAATTAATTAAAAATGACCTATTTAAGTTTGTCAAAAACTAACACGCACCACCACAACAGTATACAAAAATATCGCTCACTCAACAAGCTAGTAAAACACTCACTTCACGCTATTTTCTAATAAATTATTCCCTCTGTTCCAATAAAAAAATTCACATTGAGTTACCAATCTTAAAACTCATTGTGAATTTTTTTAGAACAAAGGTACAATTTGTTTGTATATAATAGAACTGGTGTCCTCAACGATAATGTCATAACAGCTCTTAGATTTCATAGGAAAAAATTTATGTCTTACTATGAAACTTAAATATATAATAATTAACTAATGGTGTTTGAAAAACCGATAATCATGCATGAAGGAGAGGGACGGAAATAATCTGAAAATGAAATTCATGTCAATTGGATGCGACTATATATATGTATGGGAGAGTTCAAACGGTGGACTTTCCAACAAAACCTCGTTGGTTTATATGATCATTCGCACTGGCGGAGCCAGAATATTGGTTTAGGGAATGCGAATTATGATCAATAGAATAAGCACTTAAAACTGAAAAAATACATTGAATATTAAGAACTACTAAACTATAATTCTTTCTTATATTGAAAAGTTCTATACCAATTAATTTTTTTCCTTTCATTAGCATTTTACATTTTTTTTTCAGCTAGAAGCTATTATATCATACAATAGTTTGGTTTTATTTTTATTTTTTTTAATTCTTTTTTAGGTACACCAGAAATCAACGATGGGAATAACCAACAGGGAAAAGAATCAAATGTCATGTAAGATTTTACTAAATTTACTATATTTTAATTTAATCTTTGCCGTGTATTCATAAATACAAATTACAAATTTTTAGTGTCAGAAAAAATGCAATTTTAGAACTAAAAATTCAAGATTTGACAAATTTTTTTGAAAAGTAAAACTTTTAGTACCTTCTTCAATTACATCAAACCAGTACTAAAAGATTTCCTTATTTGAAGTGAAAGTCCATTGTTTTAGCACCAACCCCTAGTCGTTTTACAACTTTACTTTTCAATTAAGCTTTTAGCCTATAATTTAAAACTTACTATTGACTATTTACTTCTATATGATTTTAAAATTGGAGTTTTACTACAGTCTCAAATATATGTCATTCTAATTAACTTGGACTTGACAACGAACTTTTTATGACTGTTAATGGAATATTGTACATCCTTACCAATCAATAAATATGAGATTTAATTTTAAACAAAATTAGAACTCTTATTTTTTTTGAAGATTTTTGTATTCAATAATTATATGAGTAATAGATACCATAGTTTCAAAATTTTTTCTACGCAAATTAAGCAAAAACTGAATGTTAAATTTTTGGAGGGGGTGCGAAATTGACTGATTACAATTTTTTCTTTAGTAATTATTTAAAAAAAAACTTTAAAAAGATATAAAATCGGAGGGGGCGCGGCCGCACCGGCTGGCCCCCTATTGGCTCCGCCACTATTCATTCGAGCAATTCTGTATCCATCATCTTCTTGGGTGTTTCTTTTCTTTGTCCGATTAATGTTATCTTTAAAAAAAAAAAAACAAAAGAAAGATCCCCAATGTGAATTTTCAAGATGTTGAATGCGTAATTTTCACCATTTCTTTTTGTTTTTGTGATTAAATTATTCGATCCGGCACTGACCACAAATTGTCAAAAGCATAAAAGTAGTTTTGACTCAAAAAATTAAAAAAAAAGGAAGGAAGAAGAAGAAGATCGGAGGGTTTATTTGAACTAAATATTAGTTGGACTTGAGTAATTAATCTGTTATTCAGAAATCACAAAGAAACCTATTTATTTATTTATACTGCTGTTGAATATAGACAATATTTTAGGTAAGACATGCCAGAAGAAAGAGTTCTTCTGCTCGTTTGTTGTACAAATACTACAAACATGACAATTTTTTGAAACAAGAGTTTTTAAAATTTTTTTTTGTTTTGCAGGATGTACACCGTCGACAACAGTGACTAATTTACATCGTTCATAGTAGGCACCTTGATAGGTGAGAGAAAAAAACAAGAGTTTTTTAAATAGCTCTAACATATTTTTATTTTATTTGAACTTTCAAATACATTGATACAAACAAGTGAATAATGAAAATCAACTTCCTAGCTGATAAAAATGATGTCAAAAGCAAAAATCGATTTGAACGTGATTTTTTTTTTCTTACTCTTTTTGGCTTATCTTAAGGAAGGTTAATCAATCTCGGCAATAAATTATGTCTGTTTCATTTTATAAAAGAAAAATATATGTCTCGTTGGCTTTTGCGTATTATATTACTAGTGATGTCTGGTCGCGCAATGCGCGACCCTGGCCTAATATATATGTACATCTTAGAAATGTTTGTATTTGGAAAAAAAAAATATTTTGTATTTGGCCCAATATATTTTAGAAATGTTTGAAAAATTTAGAAATGTTTTATAAGTGTGATCATAGAAATGTTTATATTTGGCATAAAAAGAAATTGTATTTGACCCGGTACGTTTTAGAAATGTTTGAAGATTTTAGAAATGTTTTATAAGTGTTACTTCTTAAATATAAATAAACTTGATCAAATATATGTCTTGAATTAAATGCTAGACAAAATATAAAAGCATCCTAATAAGTTTAAATAGTAGTAAGATAATTTATTGATATTCTCTGGTTGTGCCAAATCAATACTTAGTTTTGGAGATTTATAATAGCTTTGTAGTAAGCTTCTTCCCAAGAGTATACGCTTAATTGTTGAAACTATTTCTTCCAAAAGTTTATAAGTAGTAAAATATCAAAAATATAATTTTGAAACTGGTTAATTGATGAAATTGGTTGATCACAGATATGAGAATGAAAATAATGTAAATTTGCATAGGTTTCAAGTTATACCAAAAAAGAACTTACCTCACCATGGCAAATAATAAAAAAAAAAAGTAAAAGATAACCCATTTAAAATTGAGAAATTTATTTTTTTCTGTAGGTAAAAATGTTGTATAAAAATACAAATAAATGTAGAAACATCATTCTTTCCCTCTCCGCTTCAAATTCATAAAAGGCTTTCCCAGAAATTCGTTAGAAGAAGCACCTGAACTATTTAGATGATGAGAAACTAAAAAAAGTCCAAAAACCAAAATTCAAAAAGTATATTCTTGAAAGTCTGAACACAAAAAAAAGGCGCTTTATTTGCAAATAAAATAAAATAATAATAATAATAATTGGTCAACTGGGAGTATGAAACAAAATAAAAAATAATTAAACAAAGAAAAAACGCACTTCGAAACTGACCATATACGAAAAAAACTGAGACTCCATAATTAAAAAAAGAAAACCACTCTAATTGAAGGAAACATTAAAAAGAATTTAAAAAACCACAGTTTGTAACAAAAACTCAATTAATCAATTCAATCCAAACAGAACTAAAATCATACAAAACTGATAGGCTAACTAACTATATAAAAAATCACATGATATTACCTGATAACGACTACGGTAGCTGTTACGGATGGACGCATAAAAATAATAGTAATAACACTATTCTTGAACGGGAAAAACAAAAAATAATAAAAGCCAAACAAATGATCTGTGAAAATAAAATCATTTAAATCTTAATACCTGTAATTGCACCACCATAACAGCCGAAGCAAGATCAATGAGAATTTTTTTTTTCCTTTGTGTTTATATAGTAAGGTAAAGAGAATATTTTTGAAGTCGAAATTTTATCTGATCAGGATGTAGTTGATCATCACTAATGAAAAGATTGAACATGTTAATAGGAAATGAGTATATTTCACCACATATTCTCAATTGATGATTGATGAAGAATTTGTTTTTTTTTTTTATTGTGGAGAAGGGATTGATTAGGGAGTCGATTGTCGTGGAGATGGGGATAAAGATTTGGGTTTTTTATGAACCCATCTTTTTTTTTTTTTGGTTTTGGCAAAAATAGGAGGTGGAGGTGGATTTGGACTGATTTACCTTTTAAGTCTTAGGAGATGTGAAAATAAAGATTTATTTTAAAAATATGACGTGGAAATGCCACATGGGAAATAGTGGTGCTTTCTCTTAAGTGTGGTTTTTGTTTTTAATATAGTAAGATACGAATAAAATCCTAATAGCTTACTTTTTGTATTCCATTAAATAAAATTAATTAAAATAATATTGTGTACGTTTTTCTGCTAAATAAATTTTAATTAATAAACGGTAAATGCACAAATAGCCGCAGAAAACTGGACAAAAATTTTTATATTTATTATTGAACTAGCCAGAGAAATAAATTTGTGATCACTACAAAACACAAAATAAGACAAGAAGAGTAAACGGTCAACTAATTAAAAATAAATGTCTAACGAACTCGATCCAATTATAATTATCCTGTAAATTTCCAAAGTCTAAAAGGAAAATTTTAATATTATAATCTTGTAGTTATTAATTTTTTTAATTAATTAAGAATCTAAGATAAGTAACAAATGAAATTTGTCCCAAATTAATCACAAAACAAACCAAAATTGAGAATTTTATATACTAGATAAAAGAATATATGGTTGAAATGCATTATTGCTCCTTGCATCCCAAAATAATTGTCGTGTTATATTCTTAATTAATACTCCCTCCGTCCCAAAAAAATAATCCACATTGAGTTTTGAATTTTATACTGTTTTTAGTACAAATTTGGAAAATCAATGTGGACTATTTTTTTGGGATGGAGGTAATAATTACATTATTGCTCTTTTTATCCCGAAATTATTGTCATGTTATTTCCTTAATAAATAACTACAAGATCATAATTTTATTGAGAATCTTATTGAAAATAATTTTGTATAAAACTAAACTCTCTTTCTTGGTTTATCTGTCGAATATCATCATATGTATGGTTTGGCGTATCAAAACATTCTAAGATCTTTCGTTGTTTTTGGTGTTTTACAGTAATCGAACCAACCAAAACCAAACGAATTTTCTACAATAATTAATCAAACACGAGGAAATTTTCTTGTCTCAGTTCTTTGTTAAAGTTTTGTTTGTCGACGTTTCCTACTTTTAGACTTTGAGAAAGTATTTGCATTTTGGTAACTTTAGAGTTACGATTCATCTGTCTTAATTCTTGTTGCTTCTTCCCTCGCTTTGAAGCAAACCAAACTGTATTGCGATTAGGGATAATGAAAAATTGACCTCTGTGGACCAGAACATATCTCATGCGTCAAATACCCATATCGTTGACAATCTAATTAAAAACTAGATAATTGTTTTTGAAACAATGATCATACTCCCTCCATTTCAAAATATAAGTCTTTTTAAACTTGACACGTAAACTAAGGAGACAATCATTCAACAATTCATTTATGTGTTAAATATCTTTTTTACCCCTCATTAATTACATTAAAACTATAAACAAGACTAAATAAAAATATATTAGCATTATTTATTGAGTATAAATTTGGAAAAATAGTTATTAATTTGCCTAGAATTTCTAAAATGACCTACATTTTGAAAAATCTCTCCAAACCTAAAACAACTTACATTTTGAAATGGAGGGAGTGTTAAAAACTGAGTCGACTATTTAATAAAATGAGAAGATGAACGATACAAAACAAAAGCAAAAAAAAAGGTCAAGTTTATTATAAATAAATATTTGTAACGTGATAAGAAAATGTTTTTCTATCCGTAACATTATTATACTCCATCCGGTGCTTAATATAAGATATTTTGACTTTTTTAGGTTTCACCTAATACACATTTTTAATTGACAAAAAAAATCTTAAAAATATATTTTCACATCGTTTGTGTTCTCTTAATTGTTGTGATATATTTTTAAGAATTTTTTTAATCGATTAAAAATATATACTAAGTTAGACTTAAGATAAATTAAAATGTTTTATATTAAGTACCGAGCGAGTATCAATTTACTGGGTGTATCTTCACTCGAAGAAACCTTTCAATTACGACTTTATCTAGAACTACCTTTCAACTTCAAGACAAAAACAGGCATCGATGATTTAATTGATGAGTTGACTTGCAGATTGCTGACCAATTCCAAGTCACTGTTTCAGGCTTTATAATTAAAAAAATGTGGTCTCAGATTAGTGAGAAGACCAAGTCATACATACCCCAAATGATTAGTCATCGAACATTATTAGATGGATATACATTATTGTCTATCCATGAAGAAAATTATGACAAAATTTTCATTCTCAATGTAAGAATTTTACCAATTATAATGTTTTAAAAAAATGTTATGACAAAATTAAATTAATAAGGAAAAAAAGAAGAAGACTCTGGAATCTGATAAAATCCCAAGTTATGTTTGTCCCATATTGGTACCGTGAGAGACTTTGTATTAATATATAAGTTCCATGGGCTATTTTTCTCATTGCCAATTGGTTTTGAGGTGGAATCTTATGGGCTTTTATATGGTATCAGAGCGGGTTTGGCCTGTGGTGAATTTTAACCCGTGATGTTATTCTGCGGCCCGTAATGTTATTCCACGGTTATTTTCCTGATCCAGCAGTGTATCCGGTGATTTAATCCAAGCCCGTTGGACTTGAGGGGGAGTGATAAAATCTCAACTTATATTAGTCCCACATTAGTACCGTGAGAGACTTTGTATCAATATTTAAGTTTTATGGGCTATTCCCCTCATTGTCAATTGATTTTGAGGTTCTATAGAATCCTCATCGACGAATTGTGTCGTTTTTTAATATGACTTTACACGAAAAATTTCTTTGAAATCAATTTCGAAGCTTTTAATGTTCTACTAGCTAGGAGTTGATTTGAAATGGATGAAGAACTTGTAATGAAATATGTCCCTCTAACTGAAAGTTTTATTCTTCTGGTACATGAAAGAATAATGAAACAATTCTAAACGGATACATGTCACACTTAAATTAGTTTTCAATTTCCGTGTAGATTGAAAGTTATGTTTAGTTGTTAATTATTTCTGATAACGTTCTCCCGCTAAAACTAAATCCTAACTCAAGAAGTCAGTTTAGCGCGGATGTTGTTACACTTTCAAGGTCTTCTTCCGTTTTCTGGTCATTATTTTGTCAGACAAATACAGGAGCCTAACAACCTATGAGGGTGACCATGGAGGAAGGCATGGATCATGGATTTTCAACCAGTAACAGAGCTATCTATGACCCTATCTCAAAACGGGTCAGGATGAATTGTAAAGAGATGTATTCCATGAACTTGAGAGTACTTACTTCTTTCTTTCTTTTTTTCTTTTTCTTTTTTTTCCTCTTGTAATTTTACAAAGAACAGAGATATATGAGTGAACTTTTCCCAAAGAATATCACTACTCCATTGAGGTGGAAACAAATATTTCTTCGATGATATTTTTTGGGTGATCCTCTATAGGTTAATACAGTATCTCCCCCACACCCGTAATGTTCGGTTTTAGGGTTTAGGATCACTTTTTTATTAAAAAAAATCCTTTTCCCTGTTGCAGAATCAAGAGATTAATTAATGTTTCCTTTTATAGGGGTTTCCAAAACTTTTTTTTATAGGGGTTTCCAAAAAAATCAAGAATTCTCTGGTTATATCCATTCAAACTTATTCCCAATTGAACAAGGTGTAACTTGTGATTTTCTACGATTTTTACAACCGCCGAATGAATCGAATTCTGATATTATGCTTGGAACAAGGTTTATAGTCGATTGAGTAAAAACTACTTCAAGCGTTGAAAAACGAGGAAGATAATATTAGTAAAACAAAAGTATAAAACAGCAATAGGCCCTAGTCCCTCGCGTGTGATGTCGACCACCGAAGGCTGCAAGCAGGATTGAATTACTAAAAAAGGATTTCCTCCGTCCCAAAATTATTGTCCAGTTTAAAATTTCACTTTTAGTTTATTTTGTATTAAAAATAAAAACTCAAACCGGACAATAGGGAGTCCCAAAATTATTGTCCAGTTTAAGATTTCACTTTTAGTTTATTTTGTACTAAAAATAAAAATTCAAACTGGACAATAATTATGGGACGGAGAGAGTAATTCAAGCAATTGAGAAGGAGATCTTCCTTCATTAATGCCCTTCTCGGAACAACGTCAAACGTCAATGTCAACGACTAAACTTCATGAATTCCGAAGACAATAAAGTGAGGGCTAACAGAGTCAGAAAGTCCTTAAAACCACATGCCGTCATTGCGACTTACTCCTTGTAATTTTTAATATAAGGCATTTTAATTTGTCCTATATATCACCTAGTATACATTTTTAATTGACGAAAAAAAATTTTAAAATATATTTTCATATTGTTGTGTTGTTTTGATTGCTATGAAATATTTTTAAGATTTTTTGTCGATTAAAACTACGTACTAGTGAAACCTATAACAAATTAAAATGACATATATTAAGGACCGGAGGGAGTATTAAGAATGGGAATCATGGCTCCTTTTCAATCAAGTCGTCAACATCGCCCCGCTATTTTCAACTCGCCCATTCGTCAGTGTCCTTGACATTGTTAATTAAGGAGGAAGAATAATAGGTATATTATAGTCCTCTTGACCATTTACTAAGTCAACTTGACAAGACGATTACATGCATCACCATTTGAACCTGGAGGAGATAACTAAGCAGTAATATTCGTCTCAATTTTTGTATCTTTACTAGCACGACGTATAGGTGAGCAGAGTAGAGATAGACACCATTACTCGTCCGTGAAATGGACCACTCCTTCTCCACTCTACTAGTGCAATTTCAAGGTTTTTGAAGTCAAACGATGTGCACTGTCCAATTGTCAGCTCATAATAATCCCAAAAGAAAGACTTGGATTATAACATGTGACTTGTTCCTTTAAAACGTTCATATGAAAGTTCAAAACTGGAAGAAATAAAAGGAAAGTAGAAGACAAAAACAGAAGGAAACAGCATATTTCACCTTAAAAATGGACAAGATATTAGCGCGTCATTGGCCCCAATTGAAAATTTTAATTGACAAAAGAAAACCCCCAAGAATATCCAGTTGTATGTACAGTTATATGTGTATTCAGCTAACAGGCTGGGGAAGTATGTTTCTGGCTCGCACATATGTCAAAAACTGAGAAGGTAATTCAGCTAGAAGTGATTGAACGACAGATATCTGCCCGCCTGCATAGTTCAACGCAAATAATAACATTACAAACGGCACAAAACAGAAAATATTTTAGAGAGGTGGTTAGTCATATTGAAAGTTTCAAACTTAGTCGAAAGTTCTCTTTCCTTCCTCCTTTTCCGTAATAATTAGATTGCAACAGCAGCTTATGATAAGGTAACTTACTCTGTACATCGCGGAATGGAACAAATTGCACAATATCACGAGACGCAACTCGGCCTGTTGAACTTTCAAGTCTTTCTTTATCTCCATCCAAAACCTGAGAGAAATGAAAGATATAAAAAATGTGACATTAAATAAATGGTGGCCGTTCAACCCAAGGAAGTAACTGCATACCTCCATTTCTTTGAAATCAGCTCCTCCAACACCAACAATAAGGATGGACAATGGAAGATCAGAAGCCTTAACAAAAGCATCTTTCGTTTCTTGAAGATCAGTAATTACTCCATCCTAAAAGATTGCACAATGTTATTGTGGTAGAATGATAAGTTTATAACATGCATTTTGCCTACTAGCACTAAAGTCACACCAATCAATCTGACAACCAAACATTACTGACATTGGACAATGACCTATGAATTTAGGGGTATAGAAACTTCTGAGTAGGCCCATGGAATACCCACACAACTGTTCCATTTTATAGGTAGAATTCAACAACTCAAAATTCATATGCATTGATATTGAAGCGAAGTATAAGTGCTAATTAAGCAGAAGACTCTGGATAATTTGCTCCAGCTACAACTTACCGTAATAATCAACAACACAAAGTACTTCCGTTGATCATTCGCAACAGCTTGACTAGCAATCTGTGCAGCAGCAGTAACGATAGGCCCAAATAAAGTTGGCCCAGCAAGGGAAACATTGTATAGTGCACTCACATAAGCCACCAGAATTCCTTGAACTCCTTCAACCTTGAACAAAGAAGAAATACCTGGTAAAATTGATTGCCTAACATAGATTGTATAAGAGATCCTACCAATTGGCGCATACATATCATAGATAAGGTCTGTTTGCAACAAAATTTACCTCACTGTAGTTATTGCTCCCATTTAAGTTAAAGCAATGAGAGACTGGACCATCAATAGGCCGAGCACCAAAGCCCCAAGCAGGAAAGCGTTTGTCCGAGTCATAGAATTGCAGTACTTCTCCAACCTCTGAGATCGCCTGAAATTGTAAAGCATAAACACCACTAAATTACAAGTCACGCTGAATAAGCCCAATTGTAGATATAGATAGTAACTAGTTTCTCACCCTCTGATATGCATTAGGCCTTCCAGACGGATCAATATAATGAAGAGAATCAGGTAGGCGAGGATTCCCGTTTGAAGCTGAAACATGCAAACAAAGAATTTACTACATTGCAAAGAACAAATAATCAAAACAAGAAAAGTTACCAACGGCGATTCGAAGGATTTGGAAGTTAATGCAGAAAGAATCTGTTAAATTTAGTATATGCCTTTTTCTATATTTTCTCCTTTTATGGCTCATTTATCCAGTCTAAACCATAGGTGTTTCAATATTTGGAGAGCAAAGGCAGCCTTGAAAAACCTCTTTGAGCGAGAAAAAATATTTAAAACATTAATTCAATGATGAGTACTCTGAACGAGTAAAGCGTCATCCGTTATAACAACGATTTCCATAGTAAATGAGAGAGGACAAAAAGACATCAAAAATCTTGAAAAAGGCACTTCCAGCCTTGAATGAGTTCATCAAAGTTTACCTGGCTTTCATTTAGTGCGCAATAAATTCTTTAACTTTGCAGCAAATTCAAAATTAACTAATTTCAGTAGTTTAGGGATCACATGACTCCCTAAATAAATTGTTCCAACTCAAATAATTGTTATCAGAAGATATCTATTATGTGAATAAATGACCAGATGGCAATCTACCATGTTATGGCCCTATGATAAAAGTAGCAGTATAGGAGAGACAAATAGCACAAAAGGAATAGAAAGTACTATACCCGTGAAATCTACCGCCACCATGAAGTTCAGTTCATAGCCACCAGCTAGGTAATCAAGAAATGTATGATTAATCTTCTCAGAAAATTTGTCAACAAAGATTTGGCTCTTTAAAACCTAGCAAGAAACATAAATAGATTAGAAACCCACAACATAAATGCAATGGAAACTCATATTTAATATTTCGGTACTTTACTTTGTTGGGATGATTTTGGCTGACACCTGTAGGAATGAAGAAATTTGCCCCCGTCCCAGAAGCATGCAACTTTTCCATTTCTGCTAAAGATTTCTGAACCTTTCTGAATGGCAAGAACATGAAAAAGGTTACTATTAAGGATATCCTTTATAAACAAGGATCTTTGATAATAGTACAGAAAACTAGTGACCTTACCCAAGTAAATCATGCTTTCCATTACCATTGAAGTTAAAACACTCTATGATCAGTGGGCTGTCCTGCATTAGGTAACATATCAGTGAAAAAAATTCAATATTCCATAGCACTTCAGTTACAAATTTACGTGTACTTTGGAGTTGGAGATGAGAGAACGAAATTGGACAGGTATACATGCATCTAAAAGGCTCCCTCCTACTCACATGCAAACAAGCTTAAGCATGATTCTCTAATTTCTTGTCACTTTCTTCCAAACGGATTCAGTAATGATCCTATCTAAAAGGCTCCTTCTCAAACGCCAAACAACCTTGACAACTCATGCAAGGTACCTTCAATTTCTTTAGCAATTAGTTGCCAACACTCTGAACCTTCAAAGCATCTCTAGTCTTATGGCTCTTTCAATATTTTATTTTAAACTATAGTCTTATGGCCATTTAAATATTTTGTTTCAAACTTAGACAAATGATGACAAAAACAAATAATAAATGCAAAGCACAATTAAGAAATTTCACGTTTGGAACAATGAACATAATATAGAGATGAAAGAGAAGAAAATCTCAGCAGAGCGAAGGTCATTTTTGAAATAAACTTTTAATAAGTTTACTAATGATGATAACTTTATCTTCCAAGTGGAAATAGAAAGGTAAGATTGGTTGTTTCAAAACAAAAACAAAACCAAAAAAAAAAAAAAAAAATGGAGAGAGGTAAGATAAGGGCAAATCTCTCCTGACGCTAATACAATGTCCTCAGAAAATATAATCAAAAATAAGTCACCCCATACACTAGGTGTTTCACATGAATTCTTTAGTCGTATTCCACATGCGATAAGAGGGTAAGCATAGAAATACTGAGGAGGGGAATTCTTCCAACGTTCAAATATTCAACTTCGAGAGGGAAATTATGCTACCTTGCTTCCAGCTTGTTGAATACTAAGCAAAACTGGCTTCCATCTAGGAGTATGATCATTTTTAAGAACTTCAGTTTTGCAGATTGGAACAGTTAATCCACTTTCTGTAGTTTTTGAAATCACCAGGAAAGGGTCCTGCAATGAACAATCAAAATCAAAATATCAATTTCAGAGTCAACTTAATCTGTGGCAAACACAGAAGGGCACAATAACTAAAACTATGCTTACACTTTTTGAAAACAAATCTTTCGATTCCAAATCTGTACATCTCAGTACCAATTCAGTAGTAGTCTTTGACGTAAAACTTTCTTCACCATAAACTGTGAGCTGACCAAGCTTACTAGGAACGGCTGAACCTGAAGCTTCTTGTGTGTATGTGAGATTCAAATTCAACGCTTTATTTGATCTGGTGACAATCTGCCCAAAAAAAAAAAGATTGTACGTCAATATCTCCCATGTAATACATACAGTAAAACAGAGCACTGCTTTCATGACTTATGAGCCAACTACCACTAATCACTACACTTGAAATCAAAGGTGACTGGTGTAATTTCAGTGCAAGACAAATTTGAAGAGTTGGGAAGTTCTTCCATAGCTGTATCTTCAGAGAGAGATGAGAAGGTCCAGACAAGAGAAAGGGGGCAAAAAGTTAACAGCAGATATCTTAAGGTTTAGTTAAACTATCTAAATTCAGGAGCGACAAATGACTTCTATAAGAAATGATATACAAATTAGCAAGAGCATTAAGTAGCATTAATATCAGCATGAAAGGAGGGATGAAGGAGAAAAAACACTTTAAAGGTAAGTATTTACACCTCCGATAATGTGCAACAAGCCTCACCCAAGAACTGCTGCTCATCTAGCTTAAGCATCTGCATCAGCACAAATATTTCATGAACAAGTGCTTATAGAATCCTTGCCTATGACTCAGATTAAATTTAATTTTGAAGTATGCCAAAAACCAAATTCATCAACTGCAGGAACAATCCTGAGTAAATTAAGACAGAAATATAGGAAGGACTCAGTAGTAGCACTTGACATACCTTGACTTCCACATTGTGAAACTGACTATCAACATCATACACATGAAAACTGCGAGGAAGACATTTAACAATGTCAATGAACAACGGAAAATACTTCATTCACGGGAAAAACATTGGGAGGAAAGAGTCATACTCACACTAAATGCTGCACCATCTCAAACTGATACGTAACGTTGAACTTTTTAATCCACTTGGGACTTAAAGAATTCAAAATGACTTCTGTGCGACCAATCTCTTGAAGCGAGCCATCTATTTTTTTGGTATAAATTACAGCCATAGGATCACTCTGGAGAAAAAAAAAACAAAAATCTAATGACTACTGCAACAAATTATGATACAATAACAGGCACTTCCACTGTGAAATGCAATGAAGTAAATGTATAAAATTCCTTAGTCTAATGCATGGGGCAACAATGCAGTGATTCCTATAAATCCTATCCTGAAAGAGATCAACAAACCTTTGATAGCACATCTCTGTCACGTAAGTTTGTAGCAGAAAGAGATAACTGCACGGCAGAAAATTTTTCTTGTGAGATATCTAAATTTGTCAAGGTACAACCAACATCACAACTAATTTTGAACTTATTCATATCAAGTAAAACTTGCAATTGCATTTTGTCCAAGAAAGACAAAAACCACGAATGTAAAAAGACTAAAAAAAGTTGCAAACAGAAGATGAATAATCAGTTTTGAATTTAATTTCACATGCAAAGATTATTACACATTTTGCAAGAACGAATACTTCTGTTCCTGATATGCAGAAAAATCACATTCCCGAAATAATTGTTGGTAAAAGAGACAGAATTCTGTCACTTGCAACAGGCATTAACTCATTGACATTTACTTCTTGTATGTACAGGATAAAAAGTGTCAGCTAATGCTCAAAGATGACCTAATTTTGACAACCTGGAACAATCCAAGAATCATGGAATGAGAGGATACAAGGAAGGGATTATATTTCCAATAATTGACTTCGTCATAAACAAGCTACTGAGAAAATAAACACTTATCCACAACTGCAAATTACATTTTTCCAAAACAAGTAGTTCCTAGGAATTTACCAGCTAGGTCGCAATGAATACTTAGCATTCTCAGTCCAAATGCTAAGGTAAAGGGAAAAAAAAATACGTGTTTCGCTATTTAAGTTCATTAGCTTGCACGAAAAGAAAGAGGTGTATCATTTTTAATAACGTAATTATGTTTAGCTTCCATCACCATAAATCATTTCACAAATTTTGCTAAAAAGGGCAGCAAGCACCGAGTCATTTACTTCCAACTCTACCTATTTCCTCACTAGTCACATCCTGCAATGCGGCACTTTCCATATGATTTCATAAACACATCTGATCATGGCACTCTTAACACCCACCAACTAATTTCCATACAATCCAACTTTAAATTGCGTTCAATTTTTAAGTTATCCATTGAAAACGAGTCCAATTTTTTTTTCGAGTGATTGCCAGCTAAACATACACAAAATTTTATCAATTTTAAGACATTTAGTGGATCCCAACCCCAAACAGGATTTAAGCTAGCAATTCAAAAACCTGTGAATCTAATGACATTCCAGACCAAGCAAATATATCTTATCTTATAGCAGCATTTAAATTGCTACTAATCTCATATCAAATTTTTCACCAGAGATAAAAAAAACAGACAAAAGTCTCTCAAAATTCTCAATCACGATGTATCCCAAACTAGCTCATTCGTCGTCCCCTCGCATCTCCACTAACGTCAAATACTAAGCTAATTAGCACCCTGACATACGAAAAACACAAACATGCACAACTTAAACTCGTAATCAACAAGAGATAAAAACATCGACAGAATTTATTTAAAACAAAATGCAACCTCGATCTGAGAATATAAACCGTGGTGGCCGCGAGATTTAAGAAAAGCATCGACCGCATCGTTGGGAGCGTTGGAGTGATTAGCTTGAAATGAAGCAGTGCCGCCGACAGCTGACCGCCCGCCGGCCAAGTCGGAGAAGCAATTCCCCATAGCCGCCGCCGCCTGTGTTCGGTTAACTGCTACTGGTCTACTCTACAGTTGTTATGTTCAACGGAAAGCAAAAATATTAAAAACAAAACAAAAAAAGACAGCGAAGACGGAAGTCTCAGTCTATATTATATATATATATATATATATATATATATATATATATATATACAGCGCCGAAGGACCAGGAAATTACGAAAATAGGAGTAGTAATTTTTTAAAAAGAAACTAATAATAATAAATAAAATAAATTAATTAGTGCATGAAAATTGAAATGAACCTTAAGAGGATGAAAATTTTACATTTTTATAAGCTAAAAATAAAGATGCGACAAAGAAACAGAAGAAGGGGATTAGTTAGAAAGATCGTGGCCCCACGAGTATTGTTGTCTGCCTAAAGCTATATCCGCGCTAAATTTCATCCAGAAAATTTCATTCAGTAAATGAAAGCACAGTCACTCCAAAAAAATAAAAGTAAAAATCAGAGAAACCACAGTTCCAGTAAAAATAAGGTATATGTTAACCGAAAATATAAATATATTATTCTGTGCTAAAGTTTAAAAAATGAATCGGTGAGATCATTTTCTCGTCATTTTTTCTTGCAATTTTTCTTTTAATCAATTATTATTCTTTTCATAGTAACCACTCACCAGTGAATAATGCGACATTCTTTTTCTTCTTTTCTTGTCTTTCTTTTTTATATTGAACAAGTTTTTGTGAGATGAAATCAAAGGGAATTACTGAAACAACTATCAAAAGGTAAAATAAATGAAACCAATGAAGGTTATAAATATTTAACTATAGGAAAGCTAGGCTGTTGTCACATAATTCATCATGTTATATATAGATTAATCTTGATTAATTTTTCTTGATTGAACTATAACGTGCTGGAACTATAATAATTGTGGTACTACAAAAGTTTGAACCGATCTTAGACAAGAGAATAATTGCAGAATATAGATTCATGCATCTCTTCTACCAGTTTGACTTTTTACGCCCAAAAAGAAGTAAAATAAATACACAAAAAGTGAAAACTTTCCTGCCCAAAAAAATCTAAATAAACTGGAGTTCTTATTTTAGGCACAAAATAAAAATATTTCAAGAAGACACAAATTAAAATATACTTTTATACTCCCTTCGTCTTAAAAAAAAAATTATATGCACTTAGTATAAATTTCAAAATTCAGTGTAAACTATTTTTTGAGATAAAAGTAGTATTTTATACTCCCTCCGTCCCATAATTATTGTCCACTTTGCTAAAAAAAATTTGTCCCAAAATTATTGTCCAATTTTACTTTTTATGGATCAAGTTACATATTTGTCCTTAGTAAAAAACATTATCCATAAAATCTTAGTGGTTAAACAATTACTTATTTAGGGGTATATCCGGTTGTTTAAGGTAAAATATAGTTAAGTTTGACCAAAAATAAAATCTTTCATTTTAGTAAAATTGGACAATAATTATGGAACGGAGGGAGAAAGAAAGAGTTGAGCCTTGATAAAGGCACATGAAGACGTAAATTTGAATGTCAGCCATCAGCATTGCTAGCTTTTCAGGAAGCATAAAATTAGTGGAAGTATGAACTAATATATTATTCGTACTCTCTCTGTGTCCTAAAATGGTTTGTATATTTTGAAAGGGAAGAAAGTTTTTGCTACGCGCATTAATCATGATTAGCATATTTTAATCTAGTTCGCAACCAAAGTCGGGTCCATAAGAATATTTCTTTTGTTGTTGTTGACATGAGCAACAACTGGCTTGACTTACAATCTTCCTCTTTTTTTTTTTTTTTTGTTAGTAAAAAGGAACCAAACTAATGGATTGTTATTCTACTATGTTGTTTTGGTGGGGGAATAATAACCTTTAAGAGGCCATTTTCCCTTTGCATGATGCTCATTCAATGAGGAATTAAGGTCATGTTTATAATCATAGCATCTCTAAAGTATATAGAAAGATGTTACCTCAATCCGAACTGCACAATCTAAATTCGAATACGTTTTGCCCATTACAGGCAGCACTGGCAATTGTACATATTTCCATTTCTGGGATTTCCTCTTATGCATCAATTGGAAAAAGTTAGTGGTCAATTGACCACAAAGGTCAAGGAGGTCAAGGTCAAGGTCAACCACTAAGGTACCAACAATTTTTGCATGTTGGCCACTCAGTGACCCTTTCACGAAACAACCCCAAAAAAGGCGAGAAACCAATAAAAAGCTGTTGATAAGAAAAAACAGAATGAGGTCTCTTCTGTTTTGTCCAGACACTGAAAGCATCAGATACATGTTTCAAAATTCCTATCATGCTATGTACACTTGCTGACTGACGCACATCCAACTACTACGGTCTACAAAGGAATTTATCCAAGCTGCTACTGTGCCGAATAAGAGGAAGATGTGGGAACATTCACTTGAGGCCACCCAGAGGCTGGAGCTTGTGGTTGTGCAGTAGGATAACCATAGCCAACAGACGGCACTGGGTAGTAGTAATTTGTAGCTGTACCATACCCATAGGATGGATTCCCATAGTAGCTTGACCAGGAGGATTCGTTATTGTAACCCACAGAAGTTCCATGGTATATAGCAGTTTCTCCTCTTTGCGACAGCGAGGAATAATCATCAGCCGAAGGTTGATGCGCAGGAACCACCGCTTGTGTGACTTCATTCCTGCCAATTATGTGATTCCATCATTTGTTAGCTTTCCATGGCTTAAAGGTCCACTACCTAAGAAGCACGTGGGCTTGTTTGGCCAACTTTCATTTTTCATTTTTCATTTTTGTCTCATTTTACCTCTTAAAACACCTTTTAAACACAAATCCCAATATGATCCAAACAAATTTTTAATTTACTTTTTAAAAATATTCCAAAAATTATTTTTACACAATTTTCATTCGCCACCACCGGACCACCTCTACCGCTACCGCCACCGGACCGCCCACGGCAACTGGCCGACCGGATTCCGGCCAAATTTCGGTCTGGTCGCTAGCCGGCCGGCGATTCGGCGGTGGCGGCAGTAGAGGTGGTCCGGTGGTAGTCTAAAAATATTATTAGTTTATTTAAAATATCATCTAAATAAGTTTTTAAATTTTATCTCAAACCATATTTTAAATCATATCTCAAACCCAAATCAAAAACCAAAACAAAAACTAAAATAAAATGTTGGCCAAACAAGCCCTAAAGTATGAAAGATTTACAATCAACTAAAAATCATTACTTTAATCATGTTGAGCGGGATTAGAAAACATATCACATTTGTATGCCACTCTTTTTAACATCACTCAATGAGACATTGGATTAGAAGTGACGTGTTCCCTTCTCAATGAGTTAGTGGCAGTGCAACCAACAGGTTTTTTGACAAATTCAAGCACTAAGTAATACTACAAATCATGTCATGAGAAGAAATGGAAGCCACACACCCTCAAGGAAAATCACTCTCCTTATAAAAAGTAAAATATTCATGTAGTGAAACAGTGATATTGGCATTGTACTTCATGAACACCCCTAAACACATTTCCTGGCTGTGGATCAAAGATGGAGTTAACCGTGTATAACATGAATTCTCTAGCGGAAATTATACGTATCTATATGTTTATGTTATAATACCATTGCATCTACTAGAAATGATATTCATTGTGAAATACAAGAAACTAATGAGCACTTTTATCCTGAACTTTACTACATAAAGTAGCAGTTCCACAAATTGTAATCATGTAAACTTGGGCCGGCCTACATGTGTGTCAAATTAAATCAAGATACAAAAAAATTCGGTCAGTTGCAGAACAGTAAAATAAAAGAACAAGTGTACCCTGGACGAAGATTTACGACATTTGGGGTTTGCCGTCCTCTGATGACAGTCACGAGCTGAGAATCGACCATGTGATATGAATTAGTGTAAGTTGGGTAATATTCATACTGAACAGGTGCGGTAGTTGTTTGCGCCTGTTGTACTGGTGGAGGCTGCATAACTTGTTGAGTAACTGAATGCTGCAACAAATACAGATACGGATACAACGATGTAAGCAACTGTCTTTTATCTTCAGTATGATGTCTCGCAGTCTCATATGAATCTTGATATCGACCATCTGATGGCAAAACTTCTTGAGCTGATGCTGCAGGTGGCATTGGCTGGGACATGAGAGTCGATGACGATGCAGCAAGAGGGGAAAACAATGAGATCAAATCTGTCACCTGCATTAAGGGATTTCCAATACAAGGGGTAAAATAAGCACCCCAACGGCCCAACCAAGTAACTAAATACCAGAAAATATCTTACTTGCTTCTCATCAAGTTCTTGCTTGAACTTTACACCAGTGTAATTATCCTTGATAGCATTTTTAAAAGACTTCTCGGGCAGAGGAAGACACTCCTTAAAGATTCTGAATCCCACCTGAAATGAGATAAAAGCAGCCATAAAAATTAGAGTGAGATGTCATGTCTCCCAAAAGCAATCAGATTCAAAACACAGGTTTAATTATGCAGCCAACAACTGCACTGGATCAATTCAGGAGAAAAACCTCAACCAAAAACTCACAGAACATGGAAGCATCAGAAATGAACATGCAACATAAGCAATGCAAGCATCTTCAACTTAAAATCAACAAACTATCACGTTTTCATCCCACGGCAAGCAGTAAGTAACCATTTAACTTCAGCATCTCATTGCTTCTACACTCAGTTCAGCTCATTACCAGAAAATGTATACCTGTGCAGGGAATTTCCCACCGAAAGCGTCGGGTTCAAGGTTAGTACTTCCACTGGTTGTTGCCTCATAGACACCATACAGAAGCTTCACTTCAAAATCATATAAGAAAAGCTTTGCACCAGGTTTAATCCTCTCAACAACATCCCTTCTACCCGAGGGAAGCCCAAATACACGATACTGATAACACTCGGGTTTTGTCCTCCCATTACACATGAAAATATAACCTGCTGGCTGCTTTGAGTTAAACCTATTCATCCCTCCAACCTGTATGCTAGCACCATAAGCAACAGATGATTGTGTCCCCATGAGAAAACTTATTTCAGAAAATGAAAGGCATCCCAACTATATGCATCAACCCAACACTAAGACAATAAACCAATAAACTAGAACCAACAAAGAAACGCCCCTTGGGTGTACAAATAAAAGATGTTGCTGCAAACAGGAATTTTGCTAAAAGAAACAAAACAAGGAAAAGGATATAACAAAGTTCCATGTCTGAGAATCTATAAACTTAAACTGAATTATTATCAACCCAGAAATAACAAAGTAAAATGCAGTAGTAGAAAAGGATCTTTGCTAAATTAACAAATTAACACTAGTGCCCCAGTTTGCAACAGCTTTGAGGCAAGATTGTTCAATCATTTTCCCTATCAGCAGAACTTCTCCAAATCACAATTTGCCACTGAACTCAATTACAAAAAACTGTACATGCGCTGAGCTATCAAAAATGAAATCATTTTTGTATGAACTACTGCAAATAAGTTGAAGGCAATGCGTGCAAGTGTGCATAATCTCGAACACCTTTCTGCTTCCTTTTTTTCCCCCAAAATGAGAAAGGAAAACCTGAATAAGATTTTCTTTTTACTCTCAATTTCGCATACCACCATAAATACAAATTAGAAAAAAAAATGCTCAATCCACGAAATGGTTCTTCTTCTCCCTCAAAATTTCCATAATAACTGTAACTAGAAACTTACCCTTCAAGGGAATCGATCGAAGAACGGCAACCCGATATTCTATCTACCCAGTTGCTCCATTTCGCTTATTAATACCCGGCGTTAGGATGTGAACCAAAATGGCTCCGAACGTGATATTTGAAGTCGGTTCAACACTCAACAGGGGGAAAGAGTAAAGCTGGGGATGCTAATCGTCACTGTAGTTGAACCAGAATATCGCTAACTATGATTCCGCCATAATCTTCCTTTTTCTTCAGAGAGCTTGATGATTCAGAGAGTTACATACAGACCACTAAACCGCCGATTGGCGGTTCATAAACCGCCGGCCCGAGGAAGGAAACCGGAAAAAACAAAAAAAAAAAAAATGTATATATATATATATATATATATACATACACTATACTAAGGCAAAAACCAGAGAGAAATCTAAAGTTAAGGAGCACATGTCACATAGGATTTTATCCTATGTGGCATTTTCTTAATTTTCTACATATAAAAATGCACAAAACAAAACAATAAAAACCAAAAAAAAAAAAAAACGCAACTGAAAAAATCCAAACTCTATATTGATTCGACCAAATCACTACAAATCTGATGGACGGATCTCTTCTTCCTAAAAAAACACAACTGAAAAAGAATTTTATATGAATAATTTATTAAAATAATTAAAGAAGTTAGGCCAACATGAAACTTCTATAATTTAGCTTCAAATATGGAATTTAGTTAAAATACTGTGGTGATGGGTTGATGTAGCGGGGCTAAAAAATCTAACTTTAATTCGAAAAAAAATGAGTAGGATAGAATTGACATTTGCGAAAGTGTCTAGAAAGATATTGATGAAGAAAAAAAATAGGTAAATGATATTCTTTAAAGGTAAAAAAAATAGTCCCACCTTCACATTTTAAATAAAATATTTTTGACAACGGATAAGTTAATTAAAAATAAATTATTAGATAGGTAATGAGAAATAACTAAATCAAACAAACAAATGAGGCTAAAAAATAAAAAATGAAGAAAAGTGAGAACGCATCATATTTAAAAAAGAAAATAATAAAATAAAAACACCGAAATCAAAAGTCACACCGAAACAAGGAATAAATGTCCTGATATCCAATTTTTTAAATTTTTTTAATTTTCTTATTAAAAAATTGGATGACCTCTACAACAAGTTAGGATTGTTATTTCTGTACTAACCATTCCTTATCATAAACCTTTTCAAAAAAGGATTGTTATTTCTGTACTAACCATTCCTTATCATAAACCTTTTCAAAAAAAAAAAAAAAAGTTTCTTATCATAATTTCTTAATCACCCTAGCTGACCTTTCCACTCCAGACAAGAAATATTGCAAGATATATAATTATTTAATTCAAAGTTCTTTTTTTTTTAATTTCTTAACAATCGTTTTTGCGTTAAATAAATTACCAGTGTATTCGTTTGGTAAAATGTTATCGATGTTTGTGTTTTATATTTTTTAATAAATTCGTTATATATTTTATAAAAATACAAAAATCTATACAAATATTAACATTTTTTTATTTGTTTATGTAGTAATGTCCATGTGTATGTGCTTCCCGACCATCGGACGGGTCTAACACCTAGTAATAATAAGGACAAAAGAGACTATTAGCGGATACCCAACGATTACCCTCTGCTAGCCAATTCATCCCAAACTTTTAAAATTGAATAAATATATCCCAAAGTTTTTAAAATTGAGCGCAACCATCCCATGACCTGTTAACAAGTAAATTTACTTAATTTCATAATTTTACTTAGTTCGATGTTTATTTCTTTTACCAATTATTCTTTTTTTTATTTTTTATTTTTTTATTTTAGTCTGGTTAATTATGTCATTCCATGACCTCATTTCTCCCAATACAGTTACCGTTACTGAACAAAACACTCGGTTTTCAATCTGTTTGGAACTTTTCAATGGTTTTTTCATAATAGTTTATTAATAAATGTCCAATTTCAGCATATCTTTTACATTTCTATCATACATTTTTGCAATCTCAATACAAAAAAATACCCAAAAACACATACTGACTGAAAAAAAGATCTAAACATAAGTAAGGGTTTCAATTTATGTTTGAAAAAGGTGGAATTAAAATCCACCATGCATTATTTAGATATTAAAAAATAAAAAATAAGAAATAAAAAAGTAATTCTTTCTTCATAATAAGGTCATAATCAGGTTTTGAAAAATGTTATTAAAAAATATTAAAAATTAAGAGAGAGAGAGAAAGAGAGAGAGAGAGAGAGAGAGAGAGAGAGAGAATACAAATTTTCAACTGTTGTACCAGGTCAATTTTGTGTTGTTTCAGGTTAATGGGATGGTTGCGCTCAATTTTAAAAACCTTGGGATAAAATCACTCAATTTTAAAAATTTGGGATGAATTGTCTAGCAGAGGGTAAACGTTATGATATATCCGCCAATATTCCCAAGGAGAAAACGCACTTTTGGTTCCTAAACTATGTGAGTCACAACTTTTGGTCACCATTAACTTTTTACTGACAAAATTAGTAACCATCTTTTCGTTTATTCAACAGTTTTAGTCAATTTAATGGTCAACTCTTTTTTTCGTTAAATTTTTTATTTTTTTTATTAATTTTCTACGAAACTGGGACCCGTAATATATTTTCAAACAACAAAATTAATCCCCTAATATTTTTTTTTCAACAATTTTAATCACTTTCACAGAATTTTCAAAAATTTAATGGCTCAATTCAATTTTCCTTTAAGTCTTTATTTTTTATTAATTACTTAATGGATCGCGGGTCTCACAGGTCTTTGATCAGATTGTAAAAAAAAAAACAAAAAATTAAACGAATAATGAAAATATTTCCGACCAACTTCCTAAACTCCAAATATTATGCTCCCCGAGAAATAAATTCCAAGAAAGAAAAAAAAAAAACCGACAATGAAAACGATCAATAATGAGCCTCCTTTTCTGGGCTACTTTGCCGGTGGGGAGGTAATAGTGAGATGTTTGGGAGCAGTATATTGGGGTTTAGGGAGTTGGTCAGAATACTGTCATTCTTCTTTTAATTTTTTTTTTTTAAAACAATCTGATTAAGGACTTGTGGGACTCACAATCCATTAAGTAATCGATAAAAAAAAATAAAGACTTAAAGGAAAATTGAATTAGACCATTAAATTTTTAAAAATTTTGTGAAAGTGACTAAAATTGTTGGGAAAAAAAAGATATTAGGGACTGATTTTATTGTTTAAAAATATAGTGCAGGTCCCAGTTCAGTAAAAATTAATAAAAAATAAAAAACTTAACAGAGAAAAGAGTTGACCATTAGTTAACCGTTAAATTGACTTAAATTGTTGAATAAACGAAAAAATAGTGACTAATTATGTCAATAAAAAATTAGTGGTGATCAAAAGTTGTGACCCACATAGTTCAGGGACCAAAAGTGCGTTTTGTTCTAATAATAATAATAATACACCCAATATTTGTTCCAGGGTGGAAAAAAGAATGGCAGTTTCATTATATTTTAATCCATTTCCTATACATTTCTAAAGCAATTCTTACACAACCGTGTTTAAAAAAAAAAAGTAGTTTAACATTTTTATCTTAAAACTGAATATAAATTAGTACTCGTATTTTTTTTCCGGAGCAAAGGGAGAATTAATCAATATAGAAGTCAGTAGCAGAGATTTTTGGCTATTCACCTCATATCAATAATTATGTGAATCTTTTATATTATTTTAGCACAACAAAAAGAACAATATTTGATAGCAGGAGCATGTAACAAGTTTGTTAATTCCTTTCTTGCAATCACGATAGAAAATGTTTATCAGTTCTACTCCCTCTGTCTCAAAATTATTGTCCACTTTGAAATTTCACTTTTAATTCAATTTGAACTAGAAATGAAAACTCAAACTGGACAATATAATTATGAGACGGAGGGAGTATGATAAATAAAAATAATAGACCAAGTAAAGAACGTGAAGACGAACATGTAGTGATACAAATCGTCAAAAAATATATGGGTTAGATTTCCACTGTTTCACATAAAAGAGCGTAACAAAAATGTTACTGAGCTATCAACATTTTCTTATGTTAATAATGTTTTAAAATTAATGTTAGGCTACTATAAAACTAAGCATAAGAACAACGAGAAGAGACAAGAGAGTAGAGAGAGATAAGAGACTTGTATTCAGATGTATTTTGAAGTATGAATGATCTCTCTATTTATACAAGTAGGGGATCAAATTGCGAGAAATGAATCACCTATCAGTAATGCTAAATATTACAGAATCATATCTCCTTGATTGTGAATAGAATAATACATATTAATGATGGACATTCAATCAAATCAAATCAAATATTTCATAACACTCCCCCTTTGAATGTCCATCTTTGCGGAATAATGACTCGTTAAAACCTTACTAGGAAAAACCCTTTGAGATAAAACCCTAGTGAAGGAAAAAGAGTACACTTCCGAATGTGACGCTGCTTCATTAAAAATCTGATCAGGAAAACCCATTGGGACAAAACCTCGATCAAGGAAAAAAGAGTACAGCGTGGGTTACTCCCTCTGTTAAGTACGCCACTTGTAATCTTCTCGTTGCATGTCAAGCTATTGACCAAGTTCATGATTGTTTAAGTCAATAATAGACAGATTACTTCGACTTCTCATGGAGACGGTTGTCTTCATATACATATATAATTTTGAGTGTTTTATAATAATGGAGATGCAAGACCAACATACCTTGAAAGTATCAATATACACCATCCAAGTCTTGACTAATTGATTAGATAAACCGAAACTTTATATACTACTTCAGGACCAAATCGGTCTACATCATTAATAGAAAGTCAAGAAGAAGGATCTATATGCACATCAAGATTTTATTCAAGTGCGTTCAACGGGTGTTGAATATACAAATGTCAAACTATTTAGACCGAGATTCTATTCAAGATCTTTCATTATCTTTACTTCAGGCAAGTAGCAACCTTTTGAACTTTTTTAGAAGTGTTCAAAACTCTGAAATAACTCTTCAGGCGTTTTACTTATATTCAAATTTCGATAATATTCAGCCTTTTGAAACTCTACAAGAGTTCGGTGCTAACAAAATTGTCAATGCACATATGGCTTATGAATACTCACTATAGTATTAGTTATCATCCTATCATTCAAAGATGATCATAAAAACAGATAGAAAATCATGTTACAAACAAACTAAATATATCTAGATAAAAACGAACATAGCATATCTATTATATTAAAAAAATATGAACCTAAATATCTAGACACATGAAGACGCTATAACTTACGCAAGTCTTTTGAATTAATTTATCAAGAATTGGGAATTATGTC